ATATATATATATATATATATATATATATATATACATATATATATATATATATGAGTAAAGCTTATGTTAGCCAGCTCGCGCACCTCGCTCCCAAAATGCCGACGGTCTGGATCATTATGCTGCTGATGGACGGTCTTCAAAAAATTGCTTTAACACTGCTTGCAACCATTTAGGTGAATTCAAAAAAAATTAATTTTTTAATGTATACTCTGACGCACTTGACGCCTCGTAAGTGCTGACTCAAAAAACTTTTAACTCTCTCTCTTCTCAACATCCTCTCTCTCTTCCTCTTCACTCTCTCTCCATAGGTTTACACAAAAAAGAGCTTCTCTCTCTCTCTTCCAACAGAGAAGAATCTTACACAAAAAAGGGCTTTTCTCCCTCTCTCTCTATCTCTCTTTTAACAGAGAAAAAGTTATGTTCCTGCGCCATTTCCAACAGAGAAGAAGCTCTCCTCCTTGGTTTTCTTATCTTCCTCTTCCCTGTGCCAAGGCTCTCCTCCCTGGTATTTCCTTTTCCAACTTCCTCTCCTTTTTTTTTTTTCTCACGTTTCTGACGGATTTTCAATTTTTCGGCGAGTTAGGGAATTGCTGATTTTTATATATCTTCTTGTTCTTGATTAGGCGGAGGGATGGCGGTTATTGCGACTTGGCTGAGGCCTCTGGTTTGATTTTTGAAAGGTATTTTGAGCTCGATTTAGCTTTTCTGGCTACTGTTCGTTCATTTTTCAGACTACATCTCGTTTTCCGGCAATTATATGTTTATTTTTCAAGATAATAGTACTATTTTATTTTGTGTATTTAGTTTATTTATGCGAATATTGTTCAGCAACCTGTTAATTTTTTGTCTTTTATGTTATTATTGTTGATTTTCTGGCGATTAGCGCAGTTTTATAGCTGTTCATTTTTGCTAATATAATTGTTTTATTCTTGATTGATTAGGGTTTATGTTCTATCTACATCGGGAATTTTCTCTAAAACAGTTTTTCAGAGTTGATTTGGCAGTCACAATTGGTGCTTTCTATTACCCGAGATTGTGGTTCAATTTTAGCAGGTATTTTGACCCAAAAAAGAAAGGGATTTTCATGATGATGCATAAATTGGATGTTAAGTTTAAGGAATTTGGTTCATGTATCTACTAAGAACTATGTCCTAAGCAAGAGAGATTACAAATTTCTGGAGCTCTGTTATGTTTATTTTTGTACATTTTGATATATCATATGTAGTCCAAGTCCAATATCTTCATGTGGCATCTGATGCACCATATAGTAAATCACTTACTCTTAGAAATTAGAATACCTCTATTATAAAAATTTATTTATTTTTACAATTGTGTATTTCTCCCCCATTGTTTTCCCTTTTTGACTTTTTGCTGCATTTTTTTTATCAATTGGGTTTTTTCGCCCTTGCTGCATGAGGTTATATTGCAAGTATGTAGTATCTATTTGTTACAATTTTTGCATGTGGCAAGGTGGGTTGAGAAAAATATGATTGATATTCTTAAGATGAAGGTTTGAATACATCTATTTTTGTAGTTTGTAGTTTCACGTTAGGTAAGTAAAAAAACTAAGATGGATCCCACGGATTCAGTCGGTATGACATCTAGTACATGCCCAAATATAGGCAGCATTGAAGAAATCCCAGATGGTGGTTGTGACTCACCAAACATCAGCCAAAAAATAGAAGAACCGAATGATGTTTGGAGCAGATGATGATGCATATGAGTTCTATAAGTCTTGTGCATTGACCAAAGGTTTTGGTATTCGCAGGGGGACTACTCATAACAAGGAAGGTAAATAGATCAATAGGGTTTATGTGTACTCGAAGGAAGGGGTTAAACAAGATAGACCTAATAAGAGTGGAAAAGTTTACGCTGAATTAAGGTGAGGGTGCAAAGTTAGGATGTGCATAAGTTGTCAAGAAGACGGCGAGTCGAAAGTGACTAGTGATGTTAATGTTCATAATCATGTTCTACTTAGTCCAAGAAAATCTCGTCTAATTCGCACGCATCTATCATTGTCGAGTGCTACAAACTCATTGATACACTCAATGAGCTCGGCAATGGTTAAGCCTAGACATCTTCATGACATATTCATAGAGCAGGTTGAAGGGATAGACAATGTCCCTTGTACACAAAAGGACATTCAAAATGAAATAACAAACACTAGAAGAAAACTTAGAGGAAAAGATGGCAATTGAATTTTGCAATGGCTCTATAAAGAGCAGCAATCAAACCCATCATTCTTCTATAGATTGAGATTAGATGACGAGGATCACATTCGCAGTATTTTATGGGTAGATTCTACATCTAGAGTTTCCTATCAATGCTTTTTTGATGTGGTTACTTTTGATACAAGACAAATGCATTTGTTATGCCGTTTGCACCTATACTTGGTGTAAATCACCATTTCAATACAAATTTCTTTGGATTTGTACTCATATTTGATGAGAAGATAGAATCATTTATATGGGTATTTGAAAACTGGTTGGAAGCCATGGGTGGACGACAACCAGGCGTTATTCTCACTGATCAAGATCCTGCAATTTCATATGCAGTGAGGCAAGTTCTTTACCAAAGTAAGCATCATTATTGTAAGTGTCACATATTTCCAAAGATCAAAGAAAAAATGTGTCGTCTTGGGTATGCATCCTTTTTATTCAGATACCTTTTGGAGGTGTGTGGCTAACCCAACATTTAGAGAATTTGAATTGACTTGGAAATCAATGATTGATAATTCTAACCTGGAAGACGATGAATGGCTCAGTAGGCTTTATGTTGTTGCATGCAATGGGTTGACGCATACTTGGTTGACACGTTCACTGCTAGTATGACTTCTACTCAAAGGAGTGAAGGGATGAATTGTCACTTCAAGACGTACTTGACACCCACAACAAGCTTGCACACATTACAAAAGTCAAAGATAAGAAGGTGCGAAAAGAGAGGGAAAATGACTTGAAAGATATTCAAACTAATCCAGTATTGCGAACAACTACTTTCATTGAGTCACATGCATCAAAAATCTATACTCAAAAGATTTTAAAGATATTTGGTGAAGAGGTGGCTAATTGCTTTAGTTTTACGAGGGAGATAGTTGAAGACAATGGACAACTTGCTACCTTTAAGGTGGCAGTCCCGGGGTCTGGATCTAGACAATACTTATTGAAATTAAATTGTCATGACAATTTTGTTTCTTGCAGTTGTCACTTCTTTGAGAGAATGAGTCTTCTTTGTAGTACTGAAGATTTTTATGGTGAAAGATGTTTTTGAAATCCCTCCACAATATATAATGAAGCGTTGGACCAAGGATGTGAAGAAGGGAGTTTTTATTGATGACATTGGGGAACAAATTCAAGCAACATCTGAACTACCACGCTCCATTAGATATAATGAGTTTATGCAGGCAAGTCGATCCTTTACTGAGCGTTCTTCACATAGTGCAGAGGGCTATGAGTTTGTAATGTCCATAAGACAAAATGGAATTCATTAGTTTGATGAAAAGTTTGTGTGCAATAGAGGTCTACAAGATAATGCAATGAGCCATGTCAATGAAGATGATAATTCTGCCAGTTGTAGTAACACCCCAAGTAGAAGTAACCATTGTCGCAATGTCCTTGAACCTACACGAGCACGGACAAAGGGGCGACCGACCACTAAAAGGCTGAAAGCTCGTTCTCAGGGATGGAAGTCGAAGACAAAACAAAGGAAATGTGCCGTCTGCAATGGCAATGGTCATGACAAAAGGAACTGTCCATCGTTTGTTTGTGATAGGTACAACTGCATACTTTTAAATGCCTGAGGACAACTGCTTCAATTGAAATGCTAACATATGAATTTATCTTTTTCTTATAGGGCTAAGGACAAAACATATCGTAATCTTCGGACTCTAAGAAGGCAGTAGATGTGCTACATTGTTAAGTTCATATTTTTAAATTCAATTTCAAACATTTTTATATGCATGTAAGTTCTTATTTGTAACTTCATTTGGAACACTATTGTCACTCATATTGCATTTTATGTCTCTAACAGAGAGGACAAATTCATATGGAAGTACTTCAAAGGAGGGGCCTATGTTGCTGCAGGGATACAATTTTTATGTCTCAGACATTTTATGTGTATATAAAAGTACTAGCAGAGAGATACATCTCTCTCTCTCTCTCTCTCTCTCTCTCTCTATATATATATATATATATATATCTCATTTTACATAACAATCATTGTGTTATTACGGCCTTTGTTCTGATAAATGGAAGAACCAAATGGTTTTTGATAAATTAGGGGATTAATGAATCATAATTGTATTACTCATTGCAGTGGAACTGAAATAATATTTCATACTTGGCAACTTAGGGGATTAATATTGTATTTTATGAGCATTTCCATGAGGTCTGAAAAATTATAAGTTTTTTTTCAGGGGCTCTCTAGTTGTTTCTTTGACTTGTACCAAGGCTAATTGGGCATTAAAGTGGGGTTTTTACTTTAATATTTTTCAATTCCTTGTGTGAGATGCCCATAATTACCTTAACGTTTTTATTTTTCTAGCTGCCTATGGTAACATGGAGCTCTCTCTCTCTCTCTCTTTCTCTCTCTCTCTCTCGCAATTTTTTTCCATCTGTCTAATCTTGGTTGATAATTTTCACAAGGCAGAATACATTAACATATAACCATGAAACATTCTATTTGACTGTTGAATGATGTGGGTTATTGAATAGGTTCAAAAGTTGGTGGAGATGGGGTTTCCAGAGAGCCAGGTGTGAACTGCATTAGAAAACTGTGGAGGAGATGAAAACTTGGCTTTGGAAAAGCTTTGCTGAAATGGAAAGCTTTAAATGTATTATGGGAACTTGTGAAAACTTGCTCAAACTCTCATATATGAAGATGTTTTAAATGTTATTAGTTGTTTTGAAATTATGTAGAATGGCTTTTGTTTATCCCCACCTGGATTGCAACTCCACCTCAGAATTGGGTGGAATATGATAAGATACTCTAAATGTTATTGGTTATTTTCAATGTATTAGAGAGATTGCTATTGATGTGCAAATTATTTGCCTTGAAAAAAATTTTGTGGGCATTCATCACTTGATACTTTTGTAACCAACATTACTTTTCTGGTTGAATTATAATTGAGGATGTGTGTTTGCTCACACGTGAGCATGTGTATGAGAGAGAGAGCCTTATACATATGCTTTTTATTTTTTTTTATTTTTTCTTTTTGTGGAGAATTTGGATAATTTGGAGTGCTCTTTCATTCTTATACAAAAGTTGTGGAACCAACGTGCACTTGCTTGAATTATACTTTGGAGATAAAATCACTCTTACTGTTAAGCTAGGGCTTAAATGTGTGTTTGTGTAGACAATTTAGAGTAAGCATTTTACCACCCCAATTGCCTGATCAATACAATCGTAATATAATGTTTTAGAAGAAGCAACACTCCACTAGATAAGATTTAGCCTAGTATATCTCTCTCTCCCTCGCTCTCTCTCTCGCTCTCAAAAGTTTGTACATGAACTCAAGCCCGAACAGTTGTGACAAATAAATAATGAAAACAGGTATCCAAAAAACAGCAATAAGCAAATCGTAGAAGTAAGGGATATGTAAATGATGGCAGTAGCATACACTCATCACTATTGAAGTAAATATTTTGTGGGAACGCCCAACGTTGTTTGAAAGTGAAAGTTTGTTTAATCTGGGACTCCTTGGTTCTCACCAGGGAGACTTGAAGTTAATAAAAAGGGACCTGGTAATTTGTTAGGTGAAGCCATGTCAAAGTATCTCAAAACAAGTCATTGCTTGTGTGGTATCGCCAAATAATGTTCATTGTCACTTTGTAGGTCTATATGGTGCTTTCACCATTCAAACCACTTAAGAATATATAATTCTTGAGAGAGAGAGAGAGAGAGAGAGAGAGAGAGAGAGAGAGAGAGAGAGAGAGAGATACAAC